AGGCTGTACTTCAGCATATAATGCCCCAGAGGTGATCCAAGTGTAAATTGTGATCTGAGTTTAAGAACGTGAAAAGGCTGCACAAGTGAACAATTAAGAAGCTATTTGCCTGTAAAGAGGGAGGAGCAGGGCACTCAGCCAGGTGAAGAAACAGAGGTGATTGTGCCTTCTAGATAGCTGCTCATTATCACTTGGAAGGGGTCACCTCTGTTAAATAACTGTGCTTTAAAAAAAATAAAATAAAAGGAATCTGGCTTTTGCAGAACTCGGGCTCATCGGGCCACAAGGAAGGAATGGAAGTACTTGTTCTGGAAATAACTCTTTGATTAGTGATTAGTAAGCCAGGTTGTGGGGGATGCTTAATGCAATGGAAATGGAAGGAGGAAATGTGTCGCTGGTAATAGCAGAGAGATGACCATCTCGACCCTTTGAGAAATGTTGATGGTTTTTACAGACTTGTTACAGATTAGGAAAGAAAACTGTGTTAAAGTGGGTGAGAGCACAGAGCAGGAACAAGGAGAGAAACTTGATGTATTTACTGAGAAAAGGAAAGGGTATGATTTGGGCTGTCTAAAGCGGGGGGGTGTCACAAAGTGGATCTGGTTAAGCTTTTTTGTGAAAACTGCTAAATGGGAAATAGTTGGCTTTGTAAGGGAAACAATAAATAGAGAACTTACAAGACTGTTAGTCCTCCAAATATTTTCAGCCAAGCTGCAAGAAATATTTCCTGAGAAAATAATGTTTATATTGAAAACAGGCTATTATATTCTTTCAGGACACAAAAGTAGCTGGAGTCGACATGAAGGATTTAATAGATTAGATAGCTGTTTTTCAGACTCACCAATGATTGTGACATTCTTGGAGGCTGGTTTGACATACAGTTCAGGATCTGTCACTGGTTGTGAGCTTTGATTGTTGGAGATATAATTCTGTTTCTTCATGTTTTGCAGTATTTTTATACTGGGGTATATGGGGAGAGGTCACTGCTGACAAACTGATGTCTTCATTGGAGAAGAGCTAAGCTTGTTATTATCTGTTCTTGTTCGGGAAGGTGGGGCATTCCTGAAGTACATCATAGCTCCAGTGGGTACTTCTGCTGTCAGATTTTTAAGTACAAAACAAATTAAGTACTTTACTGGTTCCCGTATACACAGAATAACCTTAATTGATTGGAAACTATTAGGTAAAGATAGGCAGTTTAGACACCAGATGGCATTCAGCTGGGAGTCTGAAAAAACCCTCCGATTGAAATGGCAGAACTGGTGGCCAAGGTGTGCATGCAATCTGCCACCATAAATGGTTGGTGCGCCAGAGAAGTAGTAGATTGAAGTCATGTTGGCAGTACACAAGCAGAGCTCTAAATGGGACCCCAGAAATTACAGACTGATGATTTTGACTTTCATCTTACCAGGGATGGTAGAGTCTTCAATAAAGAGTAGGACACTGAGTGCATGAGTAAATGGTCTCTTTTGAGAGTTGCTATGGTTTCTTTAAAGGGAAATCCTGTTTCACTAAACTGCTGGACTCTGTGAGGGTGTCATTAAGCATGTGGATAACGGGCATCCCAGGAACATAGTGGATTTGAATTTTTTAAAAAGCCTTTGACAAGGTTCTGTATGAATTCTTATTTAAAAAAAAAATAAAATGTAGCAATGTATTGAAGGAAATGTTCATTACTAGTCTTGCAGCTGGCTAGAGTTGAAAGCCAAATAGGGTATAGTGATCACTTTTTTTTGAATGGCACAGCCAGTAGTCATGTCCCTCAGGGATTCCTGCTGGGACCTTTTCTGGTCAACATCTTCATTCATCACCTGAAGAAGGTAGTGAACAGAAGTTTGTTGGCAATGCTAAGTTCTTCTGGGTAGTCAAATGCTATGCCAAGGAAAGGAACTCCAAAAGAACTCGTAAAATAGAGTGGGTAGGCAAATTAGTGGTAGAAGAGCTTTATATGTAAAGTAAAGCATCTAGGTAAAAGTAATCTAAACCTTCTTTACACAGTATTCAGCTGAGTCGCAATGCAGGGAAAAAGTCTTGGAGTCATCATTGGTAGTTCTCTGAAATCATTGGCTCAGCATAAGTAATTTTCAAAAAAGCCAACTATATGTCATCATCACTGTATCACCAGGAAGGGTATTGAGAACAAGACAGAAATTATGTTTTGTCGCTGCACAAAACCTTAGTGTGCCCGTATCGTGAATAGTGGGTAGAGCTTTAGCGTCTGCATCTCAAGAGGGAAGTAGTGAAGTGAACTGGAGACAGTACAAAGAAGGGGAGTTAATGCTACAGGGGACAGAGCAGCTGCCTTAAAAGGAAAAATTCAGAAGTCTGGGATGCTTCAATTCGAAGAGGAGAAGGCTGAGGTGTAGATGCCATCAAAGTTTACAAAATCAGAAAAGCACTGGATAAACCGAGTGTGGAATTGTTCACCAAATTGTGCAATACAAGAAACAGGCGGCATTCAAAACTAGTAAACAGAGAGTTTAGTGGGTAAATGAAAGTACTTCTTCCTACATCAGATTTGAAACTTTGGAGCTTGTTGCTGCATGAGGTTGTGAAGTGGGCAATATCAGCAGGTTCAGAAAGGGATTAGACACATTCCTGGGGAACATGGATACTAACAGGACTGTTATAATATCTTCTGATAATATCTGTTAATATCTTCTGATATTCCCTAGTACAATAATTATGGATGCTTGACAAGTATAAAGGGAAGATACTGTAGGAAGCCATAGGCTCATGTGCTCAGCCCAAATGCCATCTCTTGTTGCTACTCCTGGAAACAGGGCTAGGCTACAGCTACCTCTGTTGTGATCCAGTACAATATTATTTCTTACATTCTTATGTTTTGGTTGTTTAATGAAGAAGTTTGCTTAGAATTTTAAATGGACTCAGGGGCAAGAGACTGACTGAGTTTGTCCGAGAGGATGGCTTCTTCTAATTGTGATCCATTGGTATTGCTCAGTGCTGGAAAGGAAGAGTAGACTTTATTTTACTGGTATCATATACATCTTCACTTCTTCCAGTTTCTTTGTATCCAAAGTTATCCAATCAAAGTGATGGAGTACTGTAGCTTAATGAGTAACCACATTTGAGCTGATGCACGGTGTCCGACGAAATGCAGCAATTACCTGCCCCTCTTGCCAAGTAAAACACAGTAGCTTAAACCATGATTTAGTCTGACAAATGATTTGTGGTTTAAGCCTAGTACCTCCTGATTCACAGACCAACATACAGTCAGTTACTGCAATTTGGGTGATGAATGTTAACTCATTATGCTCCAGTACTGAAATTTTTTCCAACTGAAATCTTTACCCTTCTGTGCATTTTTTTTATATTTTCTCCCCTTTTATCAGGCTTTTTCTTCACAGTATTCAGGACTCTAGCTTCACTTGGGAAAGGACTGTGTGTGTTTGAGGATTAGAAGTAAGTATAACTTGCTAGGACCCAGAGCGGACTCAACTCAACAAATGCTGTTTAGATCACTTGGTGTTTTGGTAACTGATGTAATGTCAAAGCCACTGATGCAGTGAAACACACATGCAGTCCTGGCTGTGGAAGCAACGTCTGACAAAGCTGGATCAATGACTGCATAGTTTTTAAAGGGAGTCGTTGTCAACACAAGAGCAACAGAGCACCATCTCCGCTCTATCCGTGACTAGAAGAAAGGAATGAGAAACCACTTTGAACCAGATGGTTATTCCTTCTAAATGAAATAGGGGTCTTGAGCTTAGTATTTTCTATAAAGTTAAGTTTACTCTTTGTATCTTGCAGAAGGTACATTTGGTGCATCTTGCCGCACTTCGTCTTGTGCACAGAAGTTTGCAGGTCAAATAAGCATGAGGAAATTAAAAGAAAAAAAACCCCAAAACTCTGGGAATGGTGGAAAGAAGGGAGAGAGAATCAACCTGAAATATTTAATATCTCTAACAGCTGAGCTGCTGTCTTGAGGTCAGATACCTCTATACAACATTGACCACCGAAATAGTCTAATGACTGTTAGCTAGGAAATTATTACATTTAAAATGTGACAACAAAGGAATTGCCATTAACAATGCTAGTAATTCTTATTTGTTAACAAACACTTTTTACTGCCTTCTATCTGGGTTGTTACATCATGTCGCAAGCATGAAGCTTTGAACATCTTTGAGATGGTTAGCATGCTCTTAAACATCCAAACCTGCCAATATTGAAAACAGTGAATCAAACATGTAAGCAAAGGAGCAGAACATAGATCACCTTTTTATTTTGATGATTATCATATATACAGCTAACTGACAACAGACAAAATTACAGGAAAGAAGTTAAAGAACAGTGTATGCATCAGCAATGCCTGCCTGGCTGTCTGCAGCCACAGCCTTGCGGGGCAGCCCAGCTCTCCCTGTTCCCGGGCCGTTAGCTCAGGATTCTGTGAAGGACCTGCGGTTATCGTGCTGCCAGATGTGCTGCACTGAAATGTAGCTCAGGCAAGGACTAGGGGCAGTCTGGTCTGAGCTTAAATGAGGTTCTTGAGACCATGGCCAGAGGGTATGGGTGGAGGGCTCAGGTGAGGCTGGTGAGGACAGCTAAGGGGAATTAGTGTATTCAGAGCCCTGATGCGGAAGAAATGAAGCTTGGGTAACCTATTGGCACAGGAAATGAGAAGGGTAAAGAGGTTTTGTAACTATTAATGTATTATCTCAAAGTGTGGGGAGGCTGTGACACAGTGGCCAGCAGTTGGTTTGTTTACATGTGTGTTCAACTCTGTTATTGCTAAAGCATTTTCTTCCTTTTTTAGAACATAAGTGGATAGGATCAAGAGCTTTGCTATGCTGCTTGAGTGTAGTGCATTCAATCTGTGCGGTATCCAAAAGTTTGTTAGCTTGTCGCTTGACCTTACTGAAAAAATAATAGACAAAAATAAATGGTTTTCTGATCTCTGATACTATTTATCTGTATTGATTTTGAGAAAATATGCATATAAATGCAGAAGATTAAAATGGGTTCTGACTTTGTACTTCCAGGTTCCTGAGCATGCAGAACTTGCCTGGATTCTTGGGTGCTTAACTAATGTCCCACGTCTGTTACGCTTGCCCCAGTGGAAGGTATGGACAGTTTCATAAATGGAAAGGAGATATATGGGAATTCAGTAGAACTGCAGTCCTTGAAATACTTGCTGTTGGTGAAGTACCACCCATGTCATTGTTATCCTTGCTTTAGATTTAAGTAATTCTCTAGTCCTATGGTGGAAGGAGGAAAATGTGTCTTTCCAGGTCTGTTGCTATCAGTGAATGTTTTCCTGCTGGAAGCTACAGGATAGTATTTTTGGCAGAGACTTGCAGAAACTGTACTAAATAGGAGGCTTGTTTAGTGTTGTTAAACTGATTCTGCTAGAATGCTTGGAATTATTTCAGTGTTTATTTAATAATGCAAAACAACTGCATGATATTGCGGTGGAAACCTTGAGCCTTGCTGATTAAAGAGTTCCATAAACAGCTTTTCTTTTTCCACTGTGAAGAGTGGCTGTTCTGTATATTTTATGGAAGAGGGTGCAAAAGAAGCATATGTTGGAAGAGGAGTATAGAAATGATAAATATTAAAAATGTGCTGAGTGATAAAGTTAAGGCACCTTAAATGTTTGCCGATACAAATTTCAAATGTTCATCTTCTTGATCTTGGTCATGCATCAGCATGACTGCATCAACAGAGTTCTTGCATTTAATTTCCTTGTATTTTACTTTGGCATTTAGTAAGCAGAAAAACCAAAAGGCAGGAGAAAGAAGTATCAAAAGGGGGGGGTAGAGCAGTTTGGCTTGCAGAGTTCAGAGCACTCTTAAATACCTCCAGATGTTTTCTTTTTTCCTGTTTTTCTTCTTAATTAAATAAAAACAGTAAAACTTAAATACAGCAACCAGCGATAATGCATGGCATAGATTAAAGCCAACCTTTTCAAACCTAAGGTTCTAAAGTTAAGCTCTTAAATCTAACTTTGACTGGATTGACTTTCCAAATCTACAGATAGGTGTTACAGATGCTAGGCTTTGCAAATTAGGTCCCCTGAACCCTAGGCACTTAGGCACGTAGATGGAAGACAGGATCTGTATGAGAGGGTGAGAAAAATCTAAAGATATTTGAATAGTCTTAATGAAATAATTAAGATTTCAAGGGGTTTAGTGTATTTAACTATTGTTAAAAGCAAAAAGTAGATCTGTCACTGCTAGAACAGAATTAGTATCTGTAGCCTGACTATCTTGATTTAAATGATCCATGTCCTAGAGCGGTAAAGGACCTCAGGACAGTGGGTGGATTGTGGGGAGCAGTGTGAACTAATGGAGAGAACGCTGGACTCTGTAGTTCTGGGTTCTCCTCCAGGCTGTCACCGACTCTCCTGGTGACTGTGTGTGATCGCTGTCTTGATCTCTTTTCTGTGAAACACAGGTATTAATGCCTTTTTATATCTCTATTATAAAGTGTTTCAAAAATTTATTGCTGAAAAAGCTATTTAAAAAGTGTTATCAATAATAAGTGTAAGAACCCAGCCTGACTGTTTTGTGTTTTCATTAGTAAGATTACAAACAGAAAGAAAACACAAGCCTATCTTTTCTCCTCACTACAATATCAACAGTGTAGGGAAAGTCATGAATATAGGACACAAAATGGGATGTGTGCATTCACAAGGAGCGGATTTTACATGGCACACTTTTCTCTAGAGTTACACAATAAGTTACTCAAATTAGTTGGAATTCTAATTAATTAAAATCAAAGACTTTGATACTGTTAACCAAAAGTGTGATTCCTGTCTGTTTTTCTTTTGCAAACAGATGAAGCGTGCCAGCCAGAATAATGAAGGAACTGTTGGTTTGTTGACTTACCCTGTGCTTCAAGCAGCAGATATTTTGCTGTACAAGTAAGAGGCAGAATGTGAGCCCATGGGCAATGTCTGTTCAGCTGCATTAGAATAAATGTTCGTCAGGTCAACATGCTAACTTATTAAGTGGGGGAGCTGGGTGTGATTAGATCAGAAGATTGGAAATGGATGACAGCTTTTTGCCTCTCAAGTGGCTGGTTGAAATCTAGCCTGTTTTGAAAGCAACTCACAGGGCTGTAAAGAGAAAAAGCTGGTCACTTCAGAATAATTCTTAAGGAATTATAAGACATTGATGTTTAATTATACATATTACATGTTCACACACACACTTTTTAAGTAGTTATGCTTTATTTTATGCAGTGTACTATAGCGATACTTAAACTGGCTGTATAGAGTATACCCCTGTTAGTGTGGGATTCTGTGTAGGCCTGTTGATACCGATGAAAAAAGTGAATAATTTACTGCACCTTGTGGCACCCAGGCTAGTTCAGTTTTCTCTGTTGTGGACTATGTGGTGCAATGCAAACACATCCTGATGATGGACTGGTGACTCCGCATGCCTAGGTTTGTAGCCTAGCTGATAGAACTTGTAGTGCACTGTCGTGACTGGTTGTATTTCATAATATGTTTTACACTGTCTCAATAAGTAAATGTTAGAGACAATGCAGTACGTATTATTTTTATGTTCCAAGCATATGTACTTTGTGGAATTGTTCTGAAGTGAAGTTGTGAATATTTGTTGGGACAGAGCAGTAATACAGAACTATGAGGACAGAGACTTTAGGAGGACAGAATAACCACGATCAGCCAGTTGTTAACCCAGAAAAATGTATCTAGAGAAATTTATTCCTAAGTGATCATTAGTAGGGGAAAACAGTGATGTTAGAAGACCAGTAGATGGTATTTCTAATTCACTTGAATTTTAACTGAAAATAATGGGAAGCAAGCAAAAGTCAGAATGAATTTGAATGTTAAAATGATCTTCTAAGCAGTGAGTCATGTTTGATTGTCAAGCAGTATTTAAGGGTGAAATTTAGACAGCTTAATGAGAAATCACCTTGCTTTGATTGAGCTCAACCATGTATGTCTCTTCCATCTCTAATAAGATCATGTGATTCATCATCCCTTAGTGAAGCCTGTGGTTTGTTTGCTACCATGTGTATTAACAGCAGGCTGTCCAGACAGAGCACAAAACAAGGAAGTGAAAGAGAAACAATATCTCTGAAGAAATCTGACATAGTATCTTTACTAAGAAATGTTTTAATGTAAAAACATAATCAAGGAAACAAGAATCAGGGAGAAATGGAAACACAGGAAGGGAGCAGCAGTCATGAGGAAGAATTAAGAGCTGGAGGAAAGGGAGAAACAGTACTAATTCAGATGAACCAAGGATCAAAGAGACAGGAAAATGGACAGAAGGTAAATATATGACAGAAAGGAATAAAAATAGCACCAGGACAGAAATATTAAAAAACCAGCAAGGAAAAAGGCGAAGAATCATGCAGAGTCATTTATAAAGACAATATGTTTTCTGTTTAATGGCAAACTTTGTGAATATGGAACCATTCTGGCATATGGAAACATTTCTTTTGACCTGCTTAAAGTATATTGATTACGGTAACTGATTTTCTTTCTGTTAGTTGTAGGCCACTGTGATTTCCTATTGGCTACTGTAACTGTTTTTAGGTTGCCTTGCTGACTGTTTGGTGGGGAATAAAGGTGGACAAATTGATTCCTGGATGTCAGCCCAGTAATTCAGAATCGGAAAGAAGGAGTACCGTGTTGAACTGAAATTTTCTGGGAGCTTAAAAGATGCATAGTGAACTTTCTTACACTGGAGCATATGCAGGATTCAGAGCTGAATACCCCACAAGCCTTAGAAAAAAATCCGCTGGGAGAAGGGAGAGTAATCAAAAGCTGGCAAGACTTCAAGTCTGCCTCATCTAAAAGATTCATACATTTTTAGTGAGTATGATTAACTGTGGGAAAGAATCGCCAAGGGAAGTAATGGATTCTTCACCTCCTCACGTCCTCTGATGCAGATTGTGTTTTCCTCCAGAACTGCATTCAAGCTATTGAGTTCAATACAGAAGATCAAATGATCCTTTGATGCTAACAGTTCTAATCCATGAATGATAACATTTGTGGCAATAGAGGCACTGGCCCACATGATATTTATACAATGGTGACCCATGAGGAAGAACCACTCTCTTCTTTCCTTCCCTTGATAAATCTACAGTACTAATTTCTCAACAACGGTTATGTTTTCCTGAGACTTGACAAAGCAAGGTGCTTGCGCTTTATGCCTTGCAGATCTTTCTTACTTTGTTCGCACACTGTAACACGTGCTCTTTGATCTCTAAAGAGACAGCAGGAGATGCTACAAAAACCTTTCTCTGAGCTGAGTTTAATGATTTGCTCTTATTGGTATCTTTACCGTATATGTTTTTGTGAAGGGTTATTTTGGTCTTGGAGATGTGCTTCAGTTCAGCACAAAAAGCAGACTCATCCTGGGATACAGTCACTTTGGGATCTTGTTTCCGCAGCACCTATATCTAGCTGGGACTGAGTGTTTGGCTCAGTCTGGCCCTCGGTCATGGCAGAAGCTGTGACAGTCTTGAGTAACATTTCAGCAGAACCAGAGAGCTTTGCTGAGTTTCCTGTATCTGTCTTTTATTAAAAGGTCGACACATGTTCCCGTTGGAGAAGATCAAGTCCTGCACCTGGAACTAGCCCAAGATATAGCACAACATTTCAACAAGAAATATGGAGAATTCTTTCCTGTGCCCAAAGCCATTTTAAGTGAGCTGGTCTTGGTTATTTTTTTTTCTTCTCCCTTAACTCCTAGGTCAAGGTTAAAGATGGATTTAAATATTGTGGAGATAGTTTCAGGGACCAAGAAAAGGGAGCAAACTGATGCTAAGGGAGTGGAAGGTTAAAAACTGACAACAAGAGACTAGGGGCTGTGAAATTGAACTCCCAAGATAGACATAAGGCTTTACAAATCCCTGGTAGAGGAATGTATGTGACGTCTGGTATTCTAGTCCAGGGGGCCAGATGCACTCTGCTGCTGCCAGTCAGCCTTGCTCTCTGAGTATTGGACCTTTTAAGAGTCGGGTCTCTGCTCCACGTTGCTAGTTCAGGAGATACGTAAGCAACAAGACAAGAGACCTCTAGCAAGCAGAATTCTTCAGTGTCTGAATGGTAGATGTTTACATTAAGCATGCTAAACAGCTTGTAGGTTTATTGGTACAGTGCTCAAAAATCTTTTAAGCGTGTTTAATATATACTTGCGTATTTCTGTAAGGGCCTCTTACAGAGCTTAGACTTCCCATTTTTGATCTTGGACTCGGGGAGACTTATAAGGAAAATCTTCTCAGCCATTTTTGAGCTATAAGGTCATAGGCCGGGGGGTGAGGAGGAGTCAGATGGCACGAATGGCACGTTTGTTAAGAAACGTGAAGAATTGGGTAAGGAAGAAGCATTGCATCTTTGTTGTAAGTAATGTAGAGGAATGCACAGCAGAGACCTTCGCCCCCAAAAGGGCAAGGAGCCCTCACCTTAGAAAAGACAGGCAGTAATAAACCTTTCTCAATTTTCAAGCCTCAGTGACAAAAATGGTGTTAGACCCAGAGTGGAGCTTAGAGAATACTAGGTATTGCAAGCTCTGCAGTTTCTAATGAACAATTAAATACTAAGCACTGTGATGAGGACCTGAGTGTAGCCTATGATGCAGGTGAGGCTGTTTCCCAGGAAATAAAAAGCTCAATTTGGGGGGAAAAAAAAAAAACCAACAAAAAACAAACCAAAACTTTTCAATTCCCTGATGAAAAGCATACCTGCATAAGTTCATAAGTATATGCAAACCAATGAGATATCCTAGATGAATGGAGGCGTTAGGGACCTATTCAGACTCACTAGCTGTAGGCAGTTAGATTACCTGGACTACTTCAGATTTACAGAAGAGAGACAGACTCTTCCAAAAGATGGTTCAGAACAGAGCACTTTCTGGGGCAGTCTGAATTGTACCCTGGAAGAACACTTATCCTTTCACTGAGTACACGGGCCGTCTAGGAGGCGTATGCAAGTAATTTAGTTGGCTGTCTTAGGTGTCTAAAAAACAATTGGTATGAGTGCTTCCTAGATCAGTGGTACTTTGTGTACTCCGTGAACGATGTTTCTTGGTGAAAGACTGAAACAGTTTGGGTTGATGCTGTTAAAGAAAGTACTTAGCAATATTCCCCTAATGCTACTGTTCTATTTCATGTACCCACGTATATCTTAGTAGTTTGTACAATACCCACACCTTTCTTATCTGAACAGTGCTTTCCCTCTAACGGACCTGGTTAGTGTTCAGTTGGGGAACTTTTCTTAACCGTCTTTATTGATGTTTAGGAGAATAACCAAGAGATTTGGGGTGGAAGAGTTTCCTAAAGTAAGGAGATTAACTGTTCTGAGATTCTTTTTTACTGGGGGATTTCACCTGTTTCTCCACTGTTACAGAACCTGTCAGTAATGTGCAGTCCATGGTCTCTAGATAACTTGTCTCCAGTGCCAGGAATACAAGGGAAGAGAAAGTCTGGGGGGAAAATCAGCATGTAGCCACAGAAAATATTGGGAAGTGTCCCAGCAGAAGTTTCTGCTTAGAGAGAAGGGGAGAAATGGAGCAGGTTTTCATTTTGTTTATGGGAGGAGAAAGGCAGCTTAGAAGGACAGGAAGGACATAAGGACTAGAGGAGCGTACACGATTGTGCTCACAACTCTTTTTTAAGCAAGTATAAACAGAGAGCTTCATCTTGCTGCAAAGTGTTCTTAGCAATTGTCATAAGAAACCATTGTCTATGTGTGTTCATAATTATTCCTCTTTTTTTCTTTAAGGTACAACAAAGAAAATAAAATCCCTCAGAGATCCAACAGTGAAGATGTCCAAGTCAGACCCACAGAAGTTAGCTACTGTTAACATAGCAGACAGCCCTGATGAAATAGTGCTGAAATTCCGCAAAGCTGTGACTGACTTTACCTCTGAGGTGACCTTTGACCCAGATGGTCGCCCTGGTGTCTCCAATCTGGTGTCCATTCATGCCGCAGTAACCGGGCTTAGCATCAAAGAAGTGCTGCACCAATCTGCTGGTCTCGACACGGCTCGCTACAAAATGGTAGTAGCAGAGTCAGTTATTCAAAGATTTGCACCTATCAGGAATGAAATCAAGAAACTCCAGGAAGACAAATCCCATCTGATGAAGGTTTTAGAAGATGGAGCAGAGAAAGCCAAAGAACTGGCTGCCCCCATCTATCAAGAAATAAGACGACTGGTGGGATTTCAGTAAAAACTGCTGAGTAGTTGCAAGGACCTTTGTTTCCTGGGACAGACATTTTGTTATTTGTATCTTCTTAATCATTTTGGTTTGAAACAAAACATTTTTTTTCCTGGAAAGTCTAAATAGAACATTGAAGGTGTTTGCATTAAAAAATGTGCATGAAGCCAGATATTTCAGTGGGACCAGCACTAAGCTTTTCTGGATAGTCAAAGAGGGAGGGCGGAAGCAATCACAATTCATGAAGAAATCACACAAAAGCAGAATACAAGGTTGCCCAAATGGGGTTTTGGGTTTCTCCATTGACAGCTGCAAGAAGCTGAGGTATAGGCGAGGTGATCAGAATCTAGCAGAAAGATTTGTAATCTTCTCAAGAACATCCTTAGCTGTGCATGTGATCTTGTTACAGATGAACAACTCATCCCATTGGTAGTTATTCAGCTTCGATACGGTGATTGAATGTGTTTGTGGATAACCAGCATAAAAGCACAGGCTTACGAATCAAAATGCTCAGGGTGATGAAGAGAGAACTTGCTGCTTCTCCGTCTCGCGTCTTCAAACTCAGTGTGATTTTGTATCTGAACCTAGTTTGTGTGAAGTGAGTCAGTGTGTCTTACGCATATGGTTATCCGTACTCTAAAACTCACTGTGACTACTGTGCTAGGTGGCCTCTTTGATAGTCACTCCAAAGAATCCAAGAGTGGACTTGAATTTCCCTTCTGCCACCTGTGCCATCCTGCTGGTCAGGTCTAAGGTACTTCAGTGACAAAAGACATGTGCTTCAGCTGCTCCTATTTCACCTGCTGTTCAGTTTAGCAGGGAGCTCCAGGATTTCCAGTTCAGCATCAAGTCTAGGAGTCCTTCAGAAAAGGTGCAAAGGAAAAGATGTAATCCTGTGTGAAAAAAAATCTTAGGTTGAGAAATTGGAGAACTTTCTGTAAAATGTACAAAATTACTTGTTTAGAAAATTGTGCTGAGGTCAGGGCCAGAATGGGATTAAATAGATCTTTATGAACTCTCACTACTGAGTCTCAAGAAAGCTCAGTGATGGGAGAATGGTGTTAGTCTGCACTGATCTTAGGCCTCACAAGACCCACAGACTGGGACCCACGGACCATGGCATTTGTTGGGGAATGCGTGGCAAAGGGCAATTGCCAAAAGGAGACACCCTCTTCTGAAGAGGGGAGGAGTAGTACATGTTAAAAGGTAATGAAAGCCCTACTGCTCCTGTGCCAGCATATTTAAGTATATCATTGCACTTAATGGTGCTGTGTTTGAAATTGCTATACTGTAATGTAAATTGAGTTCATCCTGTACTCCAGCAGCTCATAACCATTACATAGCTATGGTATTTGTCGTGAAGGATAGCAGTCTTACGTGACTGAGTTAGTAAAACTGGGGGGGATTCTATGTAGTGCAGTTGTTTGTTTGTGTTTTTTTAAAAAAAAAAGCTATTTAGTTTTAAATTTAGTTGATGATCGTAGTGAGGTGATTCAGAAAGATTTATTTAATTTTGCAAAACAAGAAGTTGTGGACTGAGCGTCTGCGAATCTGTACTGAGACCTGTATTTATTTGTTAGGGATCTGAAGAAGAGAACTGCCATGCAAGAACTTGATGATGACAGAGTTTCTAAAGTTAGTCAAGACTAGAGAAGCAGAGTGGATGGAGACAGAATGGTGGGAAACCAAACTCGGTGTAGACAAGTCCAAGGTAATGTCCTCTGGAAAGAATACGTGTATTCAAAAATAGTCCCTGGTTCCAAATTAGCTGCAGTGGATTAGGAAAGGGCACAGTTATAACTGTGCATAGTCAGGTAGCTTTACAAAACTTTTGTCAGTGTTTAACAGCTACATTAGTCTGCATGGGAACTAAGACAGAAAAGTAAGGCACACAGTTACTGCTGCTTACTGACTTGGCATAAAGTGTTCTCTGTGACACTTTTAACATGGATTGATTTCTGCAAAAGTCTCATAATAGGTTCCTTAAGTTAACACAGCACTCATGGAGATGCCAGAAATCTTGAATGTATCTAGTTTCTACCTGTTCCTTTTTTTCACTAGCAAAGATAGGAGCATGTATTCAACAGACAAATCGTAGTTTCAAGGTGTCTTTACGTTTCTGATGCTCAAATCACCTAACGTACAGGGTTGGCATTCAACACACCTCCTTTGCAGTGAAAAGGAAATAAGAGTATTCATATGTCTTCAATACAGTTTATGAAAAAAAAGTGGGGAGGGGGTGACATCAACAGGCAGTTCTGGCTTGTTACCCAAACTGTTCTGAGCACTCTTTCCAAAACTTAGATTTTTTTTTTTTTTTTTTTTTGAAAATCACATAGGTGAAGCAGGCAGAAAAGCTTCCAAAGAGCCCTTTTTTCAGGGCAGGGGTTTAATACCTTACATATTTAGCAATGTTTCAATCAAATTTACTATATTCTTTCTTTTTAATTCAAGAATAGATTGGGGTTTTCCCCTTCCCTTTCCCCTATCAGTCAAACAAATCTTAACTTGCCTGACCTTCAAGTAAGGAAATATGCCTGGTTTTCGTCTTCAGGAAAGCGAAACGTGTGAAATGAGTATGTTCACCTACTGATTGTTGGCTTAGCTTTTTATTTTAGTAGCTCCTGTGGAGGAATTCTCAAAATAAAAGCTGCGTCTGCCCAGTGAAATAATCCCAATTCCACTAACAACCAGGATCACTAGAGTCCCCTGAGAGGAGACAGCTGTAATGTAGAAGTTTGCAGGTTTCTGCTGCTTATTTCATTTTTCATAGAGTGTGGCTTTTCTGGGAAGTTAACCACCTTGGCATTCAGGTTAAGAGTCTAGGTGGGCCTAGCCTGGCTGCCTCTTTGCATTCCTTGAGCCATTTACTTGGCATCTGGGATGAGTTTGTCAGGCAGAAGCTGAGCTTGAAGCAATGTATGCTCACTGCTGTCAATGAGCAAAGGTCTCTGCTCTTCTACCTCCCCGTTTCCTCTACAGAACATTTTTGTAAGCACCCATTCTGGATGGTGTACTGTGGCAGTGTTTACTTTAGCAAAGTAGTGCAGATAAGTTAGAGCAGCTTTTTAGAGAACAGTTGTTGGAGAAGGCTTGATGCTATGTATTTCAGAAGGATTGGTTTCCCACTAAGTCTAGTATGGTGTGCCAGGGTTTTACTGTTTGTTTACATCTGGAGTGCAGTAGGTGCACTTCTGAAACGCGTTTTCATGTTTGGTTTCATCCAGTTCATATTCCCTGAGACTTCTCTGTGATACTTGCTGAAGTGCAGTTAGTGGGGATGGTGGGGAGTTTCTGCAGAAGCACGCTCGTGATCCCAGCCGCAGTGCTAGTGTAGACATGCCCCGTGGTGCTGTGGAAGTCATTGTAAGGTGTTCTTCCAGGACTGGATGGGAAAGAGATCCAATCACATCTTTCCTAGTTGAAGAAAGAGGAGTTGAAAGGTGGAGAGGTATCCTCACCCCTTGCTGTGTTACTCTTTTTTTCAGCTTCCTTTTCTTCAGCGATCCTTTTATTTGAATATGTGCAGTAATTTGTGTCTTAGTTTCAAAATCTCCTCTTCTCCCATTCCTGTATGTTTAGTGCATCTGAAGTACATACGTAGTGGTTGGGATCTGCAGTATTGGACCTAGCATCTCCAGGTAACTGAAGAAATTCACTTACCTTTAGAGATAAATATCAGCTCCGCAGTGAATAACTTGCTAAGATCTGACTAAAACTTTTATACACTTGAGTCATTCATCTTTGCGGCCAATGGTTCCTAGGAAGTCATCTTATTGCTTATCAGAAGACGCTAATAGTGAGTCTCAGTTCCGTGCTCCCAATTTAGAACACAGAATTTACTAGGCATTTTAGATGCAGGAACAATGTTTTTTTCAGCAGAGACTCCAGATGATGACCGGCCTCATAAATTAACTGTGGCACTGCTCCAGCATACATCCATGCCTTAAATAACTGGAGTTTATGTATATTGTACATTATACTGGAATTTGTTTGTAACTCTTAAAGATGTGATTGAAGTATACTTATTTTTCAAACACCATGATCTGGGTTCTCAGATTCTCCAGAAGGCTTTGTGCATAGTTCTGATTCAGTGTCTGTTTATCTACAAACAATTCAGGCAAAACTCCTTAGCAGGGTTATGGTTGCCTCCATTAAAGGTTAGGGAGTTCATACGAGTGAGCTGAAAGCTTAAGGACAGTGAAATGGGATTCTTTGGGACAGACCTGCATCTAAATGTTTTGGGACTATAGGTTATCAGAGCAAATACTGCTGATGAAATCCTTTATGTCAGCTTACGTAGGAACTCTGCATCTGATTTGTTGAGGACTGTTCTATAACATGAAACGGTAACTTTTCTGGTCTCTACAGTTTGCTAGATGATTGTGTCAGCAGAAATGTGTTTGGATACCATTAGCCAAAGCCAAATCTAATCCTCAGTTCCAAAGCCTTTGGATGTTTTCCCAAAATGGGATTTCCCAAAACAGCTTGTTGTTTTTGATAAGCTACAATACCAACTTCAGCAGTTGCTGTAGGATCAGTAACAGCCAAAGGTCCATTCCGAATGACTCATTCATATTTTTCATTACTGCTCTGATGTACATTCTACTTATCCATGCGGCTCAAGGATCATGACAAAACTCAAGAGAGGATCTGTGTGTCGTTCTGGCAATAGCAACAATATGGACACAGGTGGGTCTGAGTCTTGAATCTAAAGAGCATGCTCTTTCAGTGGTCCAGCTTGGTTAGATTTATGTTCAGAACAACATGCTCTTTCACCTGTACTGATGTCTCTGCATTTGAGTTCCTGGATGCTGCCTACCTGTTTGTTCATGACTGCTTCACAGAGAGAATGAGACTAGCATGCTAGCATAGGGAGTCTACTGGAAAAGGTTTTCTCTTCAGGAAAGGTGTTATGTGTTCTTGCCAGGAAAACAAAATCCCTCTTTCTGCTGTATTGGACTATCTAATTTCCTTTAAATGGTTTGATCTGTTCCTTCTTTCTGGGTAAATTTGGCAATAATAATTATGCTGCAAGAAGAATGTCACTTTATTTTGTAGTCAAAAGTTTTGGAAGGACCCAAGCATCTCCTCTCATCATCTCAGAAGTCCCTTACATTGTGGGACTTTACTAGTTGCATGAGCCAGTTTCAGGGAGAATGCTGCAGCAAAACTGTGATCTTCTGTGACACTCATTGATCTAATTAAAGCTTTTGTGTTTCCGTTTGGTTTTTTTAACTCACTAGGTTGTGAGAGAAGACTTTTGTTAAACTTGAATTTCCGACCAAGCTTTCTATTGCATAGTCCTTTGGTGACTGGATGACAGCTGAAATAATGGAAAATTCTCTTTATTGTCACAAAAGATTCTGTGCTGATGCCCACTGTCTTTTCTTCGCGTTTTGTTGGTTGTGCTAATGGTCATATTGTGGAAGCTCTGACGGAAAAGTATTTATTTTGTTTTGTGCCAATGAAAAATCATTCTACCTGCAACAGTCTCATATTATTATGCAAATGGCAGATTCCTTGATCATTTTGCTTTTGGGCAGCAGCTTTGGTTTCACAGTTATTTTATATAAACCCAAATGCCAGCCTCCTGCACTGAGGGATGAGCACATGTGCCCAGTTACAATTAAACTGTTTAACATCTGGGAAGGTATTTTGCTACTGTTGTAGATTGCTGTCACAGAACACCGTGACTGAGGATGAGATTATCTACTACATGAGTGGTCTCATGCTGCCTGTGGACGTGAAGCTAAGCACTGAGCTTAATGTCTGTTGTGCTGTCGTGCTCTCAGCACTCCAACGTGGCTGTGAGACAGGAACAGCAAATCTATGCCACACCAGAAGGCTCGATCGGTTCCAGATGTGCTATGTTTGGTGTATCTGCAAGATG